GGCTGCTCCAGCCTGGGGGGGGTGAGCCCCCTGGGAGCCCCAGGGTGAGCAGCCAGCCCCAGCCCGGGTCACACGATGCTGGCCAGTTCTGTGTTGTCCGACTCCGAGCTGCTGTTGCTCTCCTCCCTGGGGGAAAGAGTTGGGAACAAGGCATGGATTAACCACAGGAGCCAGGGCTGCACCCCAGCAGTGTCTGCCCTGGGGAACAGCAGCTCCCAGAGGGATGTCAGCACCTCGTGGGGTGTGCACCCCAACACAGGCAGCTGGGGCAGGTCCCTGCTGATCTGCCAGCACTTCACACCACCCCTCTGGGAGCTGGGATTGGGAAAACAAGTCAGCCCTTCCCTCACGCCACCGCCCACGGGGCCTGGAGGATTCCTGGACAAGCCCCAGTGTGTCCCAACCCGTCTGCTCCTGCCCCCACACACACCCCCACGGGCTGTGCTTGCTGCCTGATGCTCACCTTAAATCCTGCAGGGCTTTCTTGTTCTTGCTCCTCTTCTCCTCGTCGATGGGGTAGAGCTTGAAGAGCAGCAGGCTGAGCAGGATCAGCCCCACGGGCACGGCAGACACCAACATCTTCAGGGTGAAATGCACCTGGTCAGGCTGGGAGCAGCCCCTGGTCTGGTAGCCTGCAAAGCTGTGGGCACAAAGGCACCTTCAGACAAACAAATGGGGTTTGCAGGGGTTCCCTGGGAAACCAGGGAGAGTTTTGGGGTAACAGCTGGGTTCAGAGCCCATCAATCCCCTCCCAGAGGTTGGGAAGTGCCTCCCTCCCTGTCCCCAGGCAGGAACTCACTCCAGGCTGAGCGTGGAGATGCCCAGGGACACCCCAGCTGTGAACTTGGTGAAGAAGACGTAGAAGGAGAAGAAGATTGCCTCGTGGCCACGGGAGCTGGGGTGCTGCAGCTTGAAGTCATCGATGACATCAGGCAGCATGGACCTGTGCAGAGACAGGGACAGTGACCACCAGGGCCACCAGCAAAGCCACCTGTCACAGACATCTTTTATGGAAAATCCTTTCCTTGGGATTTTTTCTTCTGAAAAGCTGAGAAGCCTCAGGAACAAAATGTAAACATTGATTATCTGCTGCTGTGGAATGCAACAGGTGGAACTTTGATTGGCCCATGGTGGATGTTTGTCATTAATGGCCAGTCACAGTCAGCTGGCTCGGACAAAGAGCTGAGCCACAAACCTGTTATCATTCTTTCCTATTCTATTCTATTCTATTCTTAGCCAGCCTTCTTATGAAACTTTTTCTTCTATTCTTTTAGTATAGTTTTAATGTAATATATATCATAAAATAATAAATCAGTCTTCTGAAACATGGAGTCAGATCCCCATCTCTTCCCTCATCCTGAGACCCCTGTGAGCACCATCACAGCCACCCCCTCTCTGCTGACAGCATTTCCCTCAGGAGCCCCACCTGGGGCTGCAAACATGACCAAAAACCTTTCTGGGGGTTTTTAGGGCTCTGGAAGCCCCTCAGACTCACCAGGGCAGGAGGAACGCAGCTGCCACGCTGATGCCAGCGGCGACGGCCACCAGGTAGGTGACAAAGAGGTTACTGTCCAGGAGAACCACGAGGATGAGGAAGGGGATGGCAGACTGCAGGGGGGCAGAGAACAGGTTGGCATCCCCAGAACCCCTGGCTTTCCCCCCTCCCACATATCCCAGCCCTGCAGGGAGGCAGAGGGGCAGCGTCCCTCCCTGAGCCCCAGCACAGCACAAACAGCAGCAGGAGGATGTCACCAGGATATTGAATGAAAAATCCCTCTGCCAGAATCTTTTATCCTGAAGGGAAACTTCAGCTTCTCCATGTTTTGCTACTTTGGAATGCGATTTGGAGAACTGTTTACCTAGCATGTGAAATGTTTTAATTTAATGTCCAATCACAGCCAAGTTTGTTGGACTCTGAGTCTGTCACGAGATTTTATTATCATTCTTGTCCAGCCTTCTGATGTCTCCTTTCTTTTTCTTTAGTACAGTTTTAGTATATAATATCTTTAAATATAATAAATATATTTTATTATTATTATATTTATATTGATATATCATGTAATAAATATAATAAATTAATAAATAATTGTATTTATGTAACAAATTATTATGTTGTTTATTATGTTGTTTATTATGTTGTTTATTATGTTGTTTATTATGTTGTTTATTATGCTGTTTATTATGCTGTTTATTATGCTGTTGTATCATAATATGATAAATATTATAATATAATGTTTATTATTATATATTAATATAATAAATATTAAATATAATAATATAATAAATCAGCCTTCTGAGAGCTTGGAGTCAAATTCTGATCTCTCACCTCATCCTGGGGACCCTCACAAACACCACCACAGGAGGACAGGCACCAAATTGGCATCAGCAGCAGGGGGGACTCTGCTGATCCCACATGGTAAAGACCATCCCCAGCTGCACCCCACGCTGAGGGGATGGACACTCACTGAGATGCCCACGTAGACAGCGCTCTTCTTCCCAAATCGCGTCAGGAACCACTGCCAGAAGGGGATGGTCAGGGTGGCCGAGAGCTGTGGGGACAGAGGGGTCATGGAGGTGACTCTTGGCTGCTGGAAAGGCCCTTCCCAGCTGTTCCCACCCCAATTCCAGCACCTGGGATTGCCACACACCCCCAGGTGGGGCTGGCACGATGCCACACGTGGAGTGTGGGGCCACGTCCTCCTCCCCCAGAGCAGAGCCCTGGCACCACTCCTGCCCCGACAGGAGAGGATCTGACTCAATCCTGGGGCTGAGAGGGGACCTGTGCCACAGACAGCCTTTATGAAACATCCTTTCCTTAGGACTTTTCCTCCTGAGAAGCTGAAAAGCCTCAGGAACAAAATGCAAACAATGGTTATCTGCTGCTGTGGAATGCAACAGGTGCATCTGTGATTGGTCTCATGTGGTTGTTTCTAATTAATGCCCAATCACAGTCAGCTGGCTCAGACTGTCTTTTGTTCTCATTCATTTTCTATTCTTAGCCAGCCTTCTGATGAAATCCTTTCTTCTATTCTTTTAGTATAGTTTTCATATTTAATAATAAATATAAAAATAAATTATACATATTATATAATAAAAATATATATTAAATATACATTAATAATAACATATAAATGATAGTAATTGTATAAATAATATAACAAATATATATTTGATACTATAACTATATATTAAACATATAATATTATATTATATATTTAATATACATAATAAAATAATTTTAATATTATATAGTATGAATAAATATATAAAATATATTAATGATAAAGATATAAATAAGGTAATAAATATTTATTTAATATAATAAAGATCTCAAATATATCTTATTATATAATACTAATTTAATAATATATATATAATAAAATAATAAATCAAGCCTTCTGAAACATGGAGTCAGAGCCTCCTCTCTTCCCTCATCCTAAAACCCCTGTGAACACCATCACAGACCTGATCTTGTCACAGCATGGCCAGGAGCCAGGCTCTGTTGGCACCTTGGGCCTTCCCACCCATGAGGAGAGGCTGGCAAGTGCTTCCAGGAATGAGAAAAACTGCAAAGAGCTCTCAGGGAGCTGCTCTGCTCCGTGTTCCTGGCAGCAAACACTGAGATCCTTTTCTCAGAGCAGGGAGGGGAGGGACACAAGGGGCAGGGTTTGGACAAAAGCCCCCAAGGCTCCTGGTGTCCCCCATCTGTGGCCTTGCTCACGCAGGAACAAAGGCCGCGCTGTTCCTGCCAACCCACCCAGGCTGTGCAGGACATCTGGCAGCTTCTCCTCCCTGCCATTGTCCCAGGGGATCACTGTCCCTGTCCCTCAGGCCGTGCCAGCCCCCAGGGAGCCCCCCATGGGCTGCAGGTACCCACCATGATGGCCAGCAGAATGTTCTGGAACTCGTTGCGGAAGCCCAGGGTGTAGGTGCAGAAGAGGGCAAAGTTTCCCTCCAGCAGCTGTGGGAAAGGCACAGGCAGGGGTCAGGGGGGACACGTCTGTCCTCACAGGCAGGACAGTCACACCCCCAGCACAGACAGGGGTCAGGGGGGACACGTCTGTCCTCACACAGCCACACTCCCAGCCCAGACAGGGGAAGAAAGCAGCCATTGAGCCACTGACTGAGGGCACGAGGCCACATCCTCTTCCTCCTTCCTGGGGCAGCTCTGGCTCACCCACCACGTGCTCCCAGCCCCTGGGATTGTCCCCAGAGCCACCCCCAGTGCTGCTCCCTGTCCCCAGCTCACCATGAAGGCCAGTGAGGTGAAGAGGAAGCCGGCGATGAGTTTGATGTAGGGCCTGTGGTTCATCACCAGCTTCAGCCCCTGGAAGAAGGAGACAGGCTCGTCCGACTGCAGCTCACAGGACTCTGGGGAGCAGAGATCAGCCCAGCGTTAGAGCCCCCCAAAAACAGCACCCAGGGTGCCCCATCCTGCTGCTCAGCACCCTCCAGAACCCCTGCCCACCCACAGCACCCTCCAGAACCCCTGCCCACCCATGGGTCCCTCAGCCCCAGGAGCAGCCTGGCTGATTCCCCCAGGCTAAGCAAGGAGAAGGAAGGACACAAGTTTGGATATCACATCCCCCGGGGATGCCCTGGTTGGCACTGGCAACCTTGGCCAGCCAAAAATGGCTGAGATAAAGGTTATCTAATAGACCCCAGAGGAGCTCTGGCCTCCTGCAGCACCTCCCCAGACCCAGAGCTCAGCTCCTCCTGCCTCTCTCCTTGGGGAAAGCCATGAATGAGGGGCCAAAAGCTCAGCCAAGCTCCTGGAGAGGAGGGAACAGCAGCATTTCCACAAATCCTGAGCATTCCAACAGCAGCATTTCCACAAACCCTGAGCATTCCAAGCCCTGTGCAGCCTCACCTCTCCTCTCCCTCACGCCCAGCACCAGGATGAAGGCACAGAGGATGTAGAGCCCTCCAATGACCCCAGCAGCGATCATGTAGGCATTTCTCTGTGCAAGAGAGGGAGCAGCAGTCAGGGAAGGGGCTCAGACAGAGCAAGGGGCTCAGCCCTGCCCTGAGGGGAGCACACACCAGGGCACCCCCAGCTTACAGTGTCTGTGAGCCCCCCGGTGTCGTGGGTCATGTTCAGCTCCTCCATGGCCACCGAGGAGTTGGTCAAGCCGAAGAAGAAGGGGCTCCCCACGCAGGGAGTGTCCACCTTGCCAACGATCTGGCCCTGGATGGCAGTGCCCAGCACGGTGCCCAGCACTTCCACAGTCATTCCTGCAGGGAGAGGCCAGCGCTGAGCACAGCAGAGCATCCCCAGCTGGGATTCACTGCCCTTCAAGAGGAGAAATGGGCTCCAAATCCCTGAGGGATAAAGGGAAAAGGGAAGGGGGGATACAGGGAAGGAAGGAGGGGGAAAGAAGGGGGAAAAGGAAAAGAAGAAAGGAAGGGGAAAAGGAAAAGAGAGAAGGAAAGGGGAAAAGGAAAAGAAGGAAAGAACGGGGAAAGGAAAAGAAGAAAGGGGAGCTCTCACGGTAGGCAGTGGCCGAGTCCCGCTCGCTCTGCTCCCTGCTGATGAACATGGTGAGGGCTGAGTAAGGCACGTGGAAGCACTGCAATGGCACAAGGAGAACTGGCTCAGGGAGGATGTGACAGCACAGGGGACCTGGGGCAGGGTGGGTTCTGCCCCTCTGTGCAGCTCAGGGGCTGGCAGCCTCCGTGCCAGGTGTGAGCAGAGCCTGACTCACCGTCACGAGGGTCTGGAAGGCACAGTAGAAGACAAGGTACCACATCACTTGTCCTGTGGAGATGTCTGGCACATGCCAGATGAGGAAGTAGGAGATGATGGCGAAAGGGGTGGAGAACACGATCCTATGAGAGAACAAAGTGTCAGCCTGAGCAGCCCAGCTCTCCCCACACATCCCATGGGCTTCAAGCAGCTGATCTGGGGGCTCGTGAGCTGCCCCAGGGCTGATCCAAACCAGCCTCAAGTCTCACAGGGTCAGAAGAGCTGACTCAGAGTTCTGGGGAAGAGCTTTCCTTGCACTAACAGAGGAGTCTCCTTCCACAGAAGTGATTGATCTGCTCTTGCCTTGGGCTTCCACCCGCAGCCCGACCTCTCCCCCAGGCAGCACTGCTGTGTTCAGCAGGATGTAATCACCCCCCTGATCCTGGCAAGGGCTGGGGAGCAGCTGGGGAACAGCTCAGCCTTGCTCCCCAGCAGCCAAAAACCTCTCACCAGCTTGGCTTTGCTGCCAAGGCCCCCCAGGCCCTGCTCCTGGGGTCAGCCCTGCTCTGCTGGCAGCAGTGGGGCACACCAGCAGCAGACTGGCCCCTTCCTCCACCTCTGCCCAGCCTGCAGAGCTGCAGGAGCAGGGACAGGGGATGCAAAACACAACAGAGGATCAGAGGGACTGCTCAGTGCTGAGCCTTGGCAGCAATTCCTGCAGGATCTGCCAGCAAGGGCTTCTGCTCTTTTCATCCTGTGGCTCTCATAACCCCTGTCCTGCTACAGGACAGCCAGGGCACAGCTGTGCCCAGCTCCAGGGACACCACAGGCACCCAGGGCCCCCCATCCCTCAGGGGAGGAGGGGAGAAGGAAGGAGGGAAGCCAGCCAGGTGCTGAGGTTAGACCCACATCTGTTTAGAAGATGGGTTTTGCTGGGAGATTTGTGAGCACCCTGCGCTCCACAAACCCCAGGACAGAGCCTGTGAGGTCCTGGAGCAAGTCCAGCAGACCTGGACATGGGACAGAGCCACTCATGGCCCTTCCCTGCCAGGGTACAGCGAGATCTTTCCAAGATCTTTCCGTCTGGGCTGACGTACAGGACACAAAGCTTAAAGTGAAACTCGGGGAGGGAGCGGGGAGAGCGAGAAACAGAAACTCCATGGATGGAGAGCAGCGACAGAGGCTGCACAGGACCCAGCACATGCACATTTTTCCACACCCACGTCACTCCTGCAGGGGAAGGAGGGGGGAGGAAAACGCCAGCAGCTCCAGCCCCTCCTGCTGCCGCTTATCTGCCCTCCCATACGTGGAGCAGAGGGAAACGCAGAGCCAAAAGCTGAATGAAAGCACCAGGAGGGAAGCGAGCAGCGTCATGCCGGCCATCCCATGAGCGTCAGATGCGCCAATTCCCCCCAGCATCGGGCAGCTGAGCCCCAGCCAGGGCTGACCACAGCTCCTGGCAGGCTGTGCAGTGACTGAGAGTAACCCCTGACCCAGGGCGAGGTGATTAAGGAGCTCGGAGGCGGCTGTGACGTGCCCCGGCGCTCATTGGCCCCGCTGCATGGTGTGTTCCTTTGTGCCGCTCGCACGCCCCTTCCCAGCCGGGCCTGAGCTGCTGGAAAACGGCTGGAAAAGGTCAAGGCCAGGGGTTCCTCACTCACAGACACCTCAAGGAAAAAGTTCAGGCAGCGGCAAGTCCGCTGTGGTCACGGAAATGCGGATCCCAGCCCGGAGCTGGGCGCGGGGTGACGTCCACGAGGCTGGGGGGAAAAGGAGGAAGCAGACGGTGCGGATGAGCTGGTGGATGGAAATGTGCCAGAAAATGCGTTTCAAAGAGAAGAGGGCTGAAAGGCAGGGAGGTGGTGGCCCTCAGGGAAGGTGTCCTCTCCCTTCCAAGGAATGGAACAGCCACAAGCTTTGTGCAGGAGCCAGCTGGGCTTGGTGCCACAGATCGGGGTCACCTCGCAGGTGTTGAGGGTTGGGGCCAGGCCTTGAGACCACCCCAGTGCCTGCAGCTCCTGCCTTTGCACGCAGGGAAACTGAGGCAGCCACACCAGCCTGGGGCCGGCAGAGCCAGAAAAACCTGGGTTTAAGAGGTTTAAAATCAGCTCGGCTCCATCCAAATGGGGCTCAGCGGGCAGCCCTTGAGCCATGCACAATAGCAGCGAGCCGTGGGGCCCAGCACTAGCAGAAAGAGCTCTGGCTAATTTTAACGAAGCAGGAGCCGCTCGGAGGAATGCGGCCGCTTCAGTCCCACCCCCTGCCTGGAGATTAGGGCGAGCGGAGCCGTCCCCTGCCTGCCCCGCACGCCCAGCCTGCCCCGCGCTAATCTCCGGACCCCAGACCCCGCTGCAGGCAGGCAGAAGCTATTTCAGGCCACGTGTGTGCAGCCTGCCTCCAACAACTGCCTGCTGCTACTGCTGCTGCCAGAGCTATTCCAGGAAAGCCAGGAAGCAGAGGGTATAATTCTGTGGGGGACAGCACTGCGTCCCTGCAGCTCCACTCACTCCCCCCGTGCCCACCCTCGCTGTGTTTCAGCCACCCCACAGGCACACGGGGTTATTTTAGCCACCCCGTCCCCTGCTCAGGCGTTAAAGCTCCACAGGAACAGGTGTCCAGGGATGTCCTGAGCCATGTCAGGGCTCACAAAGCCCATCCCTGCTCCCAAGGGCACAGGGAGCACCCTGTGCAGACACCCAAATCCAGCACAGCTGTTTCCCTGCTCTCGTGACTGTCAGCCACCAGCACAGACCTGTCACACACACCCCAACCCTCCTCCCTGTGGTGCCACCTGCTCTGGCTGCCACCACAGCACCACAGGAACAAAGTCCACCACGCTGGAGTTTGCAGGTGCAGTGACATTTAGGTCAGCCAGGCCCGGCAAGAGCAACAGGCATCAACTCGAGGCCACCCGGCTGTCGGTGGCACCTGGGGCTTTTTGGAGCTCTTGGCACCACACCTGGGCGAGCCAGGGCGTCAGCACAACCTGCCCTGCACTGCCACATGCCAGGAGATACCCGAAGCTGACTGGAAGGGCTGTGACACAGCCCGCAGGGAATGCAGGGCGCTGCCAGCAGCTCTTACCAGGGCATCAGGCGGCCGAAGCGGGTCCAGGGAGTTTTGCTGATGAAGAACCCCACCATGGGGTCCGTGATGGCATCCCACACTCGCCCCACAAAGAGGATGATGGAGGCATAGAAAGCGTCCACCTGCAGGAGGAGGAACTTGGGTCAGGAAATGCAAACCCTCGGTGCTCCCAGCTGCCCTTCCTGAGCCCCTCAGGACCATCCCAGCCCTACCCACTGTGACCCCACAACCATTTGGGAGCAGTCCCTTGGTTTCTCCCCTTCCTTCATAGGGATTTGAGGCTCCCAGAACCCCCGAGTGGAATTCCCACATCTCAGCGCCGAGTCCCCAAACCCAGCACAAGACAGTTCTCCCACATTTTCCTTCC